GTCACAGTCTACTGCTATTACCAAGTTAGACGAAAACATTTTGTTTTTAATTCGTGCAGGGAGCACCAGATGAGAGGATAAGTCTCTTGCGTCTACCAGTGCTGTTTCCAGTCTCAGTTCCTTTAAGACTCCCAAGGCTGCAAAGACTTTCCCTTAGCATCTGTTCTTCCAACTTTTTCTGTAAGTTGTCATGGGGGCCTTTTGTACTCTAATGTTACAGCCTCTCCCCTCCTTGGAGTCTTCTTTAGTTCTGTTGGGTATGGGTGGACTCTTTGCCATCTCAGTTGACGTTATTACCACAGTCATGCTCGATTTTATGACCCAAATTACCCAACTGTTTGCTGACTATGATTGCAGTGGCCAAATACACGAGCAACTTCTGAGCTATCAGCTTCAGAGTTTGTCTGATTCGCTCAAATCCTTCACTGAAGAGCCTACCCCTGAGGTTTTGCAGTCTACTGCTATTACAGACCATGTTAGAGGAGAGCATTTTGTTTTTAATTGGTGCAGGGAGCACCAGATTAGAGGATAAGCCTGTTGCGTCTACCAGTGCTGTTTCTTGTCTTGGGTTTTTTTAAGATTCCCAAGGCTGCAAAGACTTTCCCTTAGTACCTGCTCTTCCAAAATTTTTCTCTAAAGGGAATCTAAACACCCTGATAATGGACTCTTTGCTTCCCCTAAATGCTTACTGACTTTGTATTTATTTTGTTGGGATTTAATTCAGCAGTGGTTCAAAGTGGTTCAAGGAAACTACCTTGCCGGTGAAGAATGCAACTGCCATTAAGGACCCAACCAAATGTGTCCAAATGTCAGGATCTTGACCTATGTGGGTGCTTTAACTGCTTACATTCCAGATGCCTGGGTAAGGGTGGTGGTGTCCCAGGTCTGTAAATTCAGGTTTTGTTGCTTGCTCCCTCCTTGTTTTTTCACTTTGCTTTGTCTCCACGCAGAATAGCAGATCTCTATCAGGCTCTCTCGTCTTTTTGTGGTGTAATTTTTCCTGGGGTATTACTGTTCCTAAGCCCAGTTGTGTGTGTGTGTGTGTGTGTGTGTGTGTGTGTGAGTGGGTGGGGAGGGGGGCATTTGTTGCACCTTGGATTGGAAGGTACTGAATCTTTACATTCAGGCCCGAAATTCCATAGGGAATCCTCCAGCTCTATCATCACCTCCCTCCACCCGGGAGACTCTTTTCCATTAAACATGTTTAACTGCATATGCCAGTTTTCCAGCACAACAGCGATTTGTACGTTTTATCATAGGACTTCTACACTACTAGTTTGCTGCCCTACAGTTTGACCTCTGCTTTTCAACTCCAATGATCTGCAAGGCTCCTCCAGTTGAGGGAGTTGGTCAGGTTTCTGTCAGACAATATATCTGTGACTGTCCAGACAAAACAGAAGGTCACCAAGGCACTGGCCCCTTTACTCATCTTTACATTCCCAGAGCTTTCCCGTTGTGGGATATATGGATATCCTCTTGCAAGGTTGGGCCTATATGTTGCCCAGACAGTTCAGGTTTTGCAAAGCTTCGGCAGAATCCTGAACCCTCAGATATGTTTGCTGGAACTGACTCATCATTTGGAGTATCTGGGTCTGGTTCTCCACATGTCTCAAGCAAGAGTGTACCTTCACCCAGAAGAATCTTCTGTTCTCGAGTTTAAGCTCTTCAGTCCAGAAACTGCTCAAATCTCTGCTTCTGCATGAGTCTTGGGGCTGATGGTAGCCTCTTTCGAGGCAGTTCTCTTTGCCCAATTTCTTTCCAGGCATCTCCAGCACAACATTCTGTCAGCGTGGGACAAATCAGTCACGTCATAAGACAAGCCAGTTCGGTTGACACCAAGGAACAGGTTATCTTTGGCTTGGTGGCTTAGGACTCTTGCTCTGGAGTCAGGGAAATCCTTTCTTTCTGTTTTCTAAAACCTTTTCAGAAGAGATTCCAATTTGTTGGGCTGAGGAGTCCTGGGCACCCTGTTGTGCAAATCTCCTGTAGGCTGCAGTAAAACCAAAGGCTTAGGACTTTGTGTCCCTCATTGAACTACAAGAAAAAGATGCTATGAGTATAAAAAAATCTATTTTTATCTAGTTTCCGAAACAGTGGTTGGGTTTTTGTTGTCCGTGTCCCCACTAATGAGATTCAACCTATTTGTGTTTTTGTGGCCATAGTCACTGGAAGTGAAAGTGAGGGAACAAAATGTTTGTCTTCAATGCACTCTACAAAAAACGTTCGCCTTCATAGTTTATGTTTTTCTATTTCCTGCTATGTTACAGTTCAGTATGAAGCTGATCTTTCGATTTGTAAATAATGTCATCGAAGTGGAAGATGGTCGCCACTGAGTCTTTGACGCATTTCTCTGTGACTAAGCAATTCCATGTGAAATGCATTATGAGCTCCGTGGTGGCCCTTTTCCACTTGGTTTTGTAATAAACTAAAAAGCAGCTTCAGAAGTGTGACTTATTTGATATTGAATTGCTTATGGATAGGAGCAGACCCTGCAGGTAAGCTTTGAGGTCTGCTCCCCATTGAGCGATTTTAGATTGCTGATCATTGCAGTCGCACATTACATTTCAATCAAAACAATACAGCTTTAAAACCACAACTCTACTCATGTGACTTACCGTCCTGCCATTAGGATTTAATGAGTTTATATGGGCAGCACAGTGGCTAAATGGTTAGCACTTCCACCTGGCAGCAGTGGGGTCGCTGGTTCGAATCCCAACCACGGCACCACCTGCCTGGAGTTTGCATGTTCTCCCTGTGAGTGCGTGGGTTTCTTCTAGGTCAGGGGTGTCCAAACTTTTTTCAAAGAGGGCCAGATTGGATGAAGTGAACATGGTGGAGGGCCGAACATTTTTCCGAACATTCTTTGAACCATTACAATTAAATGCAAATAAATTATTTTATGCCAAGTTAATTGCAAACAACATACTTTTCATTTCATAACATTAAGATCAACTGACAGCTGAGTTTTCCAAACGTATTGAAAATAAATTAAAAAAAAAACTTACCTGCACTAATGTGAAGGGTGAAAAAGGTAGCTGGAGCTGAAGTCTCTGCTCGGCATCCGGGAGGGGAAGAGAAACACACTTCACGCTGGAAGCCCGGCCCTGATGTCACCGCCCTCTGACGCTCCCAGCGCGGCGCAGTCACGCAGCGCACTGCTATCAAGCAGAAGACTGTCTGCCACAGAAGGGAGGGCCGTGCGACAGCCGCATTTACACAGACCAGGGAGAACGCGCCGCAGTCAGGCATGCGCACTGCCCTCTGCTCTCAAGCAGAAGACTGTCTTCCATAGAAGGGAGGGCCGTGGGAGGGCCACATTACACAGAGCAGGGAGGGCTGTTGGAGGGCCGTATTAAACCGACCCCCGGGCCGTAAATGGCCCACGGGCCGGACTTTGGACATGCCTGCTCTAGGTACTCCGGTTTCCTCCCACACTCCAAAGACATGCTGGTAGGTTAATTGGCTCCTGTCTAAATTGTCCCTAGTATGTGTATGTATGAATGTGAGTTAGGGACCTTAGATTGTACACCCCTTGAGGGTTAGGGACTGATGTGAATGTACAATATATATGTAAAGCGCTGCGTAAATTGACGGCGCTATATAAGTACCTGAAATAAATAATAAATAAATCTGTTCATTAAAAAATTTTTATGGGTACAATTTTTGTAAGCACAAGATGGTGCTGTATGTGAAGTGCGGCTAGTAATATGGGCTAAACTCGTCTGCCTTATGTTGTAATTCTTGTTCCCTGAGTTTGGGAAATGGGAGGTATGAGTATATAATAGCATTTTAATCCTTTGAGGTTTTGGCCATTTTTCTTTATATTATGTTTGTTTAGGCGATAGCTCACATTTCACATAGGCCACTTTAGAGGTGGCCGTTTTAGGGCTACCACTAGATGTGCTGTTGGATGCGGTTCCAGTATTTGGAGTGCATCGTTATTGAATAGGAGGGTCCTTCTGGTACGGATATAAATAGGGTGATGCCAGCTGCTGGCCATGCCCCTGATGACGTCCTCTTGATGATGAAATGCGTAAAAAAAAAAAAACAGGTCTGCACCTGTTATTCTGTTCTACAATGTGTTTAGACTGCTAAACGTGCTAGCTGCTTCTCTATTTTCTATTTTTGAGCTCAAGTGTTTCACTTGTAACATTTCTGGTAAACTGATTTGTATTACTGGCTGTGTCTTCATTGGGGAGATTTGTTCTCGCATTCCCTTTCGGTGGCACCATGTATCAGGTTGTGACCGATGGCGTGTTTGCCACAAGGCATTTGCCTAGGGCGGCGTTTTTCAGGGGAGTGGCAGTGACACAGTGTTAGTCGGTGACTGGGGAGCAGTGAAGGCAGAGAAACAGCAAGAGCCGGGATCCAAGAGAGGTGGCCTGGCGGATGTCATTCTGCAAGCTGTGCCGGTGAGTGGTGGAACGCAGGACCATACGAGAGACGGGGCTGCTGGAGGGTGTCCGATTATCTGGGAGGGAAGCCAAACCTGAAAAACGATTAGATCGTTTCTCACTATCAAAACCTCGGCCGAAGCTGGGATTTAATTATCCAGTATGTGCTTGGAGCTTGAAAGGAAATCAGATTCCTTGGTGAGGGCCTGACTCCAGATTAAAGTGGAACTTTTCGATCAACGTGAACTATTTTTTTGTCTTGTGCTGCTAGCATTCGTAAATCGATAGGAATGTTTATCATATTTATTTGTTTTAACCTTTTTGGTTTTTTGTTTTTACATTACTGTTACTTCCTGGATTCCTGCCTAGGCAAATGATGTCATACATCCCAGGAGTCTTCAGGAGGGTAGGAGGAGTTTTCTCAGCTAAGCACATCCTCCATGCCTGAGCTAAGGGCAAATGGATTCCAGGAAGTAAATGTTGCATGAATCATCTGCCCTTACTCAAGATGGCACACGGCCAGAAATGCTAGGGGGGGTTGTTTTTCAAAGTGATTTCTCAGTAAAATAAAGCACGGAGATGCGGATGGATGGGGGAGATTGCTTTGAATATTAACCACTTGGCGCTGGCCGCACGCAAATGTGCGACCTCCCGGCGTCTGGGCCTTGACGCTGAGCGGCCGCACATTTGTGTGCTATTAAGAAAAACATATGTGCTGAGAGCGCTCGCTCCCAGCACACATGTCCGGTACTCACGGAAAGGTCCCGATCTCCTCTTGCGATCGGGACCTTTCCCGATCATGTGATAATCTGATAACAAAGATCCAGCGCTAAAATAAATATTAAAGTGAAATATTTACAGGCGCCAGTAGGCGTAGATGTGAAAGCAAAGTGAATCATCCAGGTATGATGTATAAATAGTGGAAACAATACTACAATACAAATATAGTCATGTGACTTGGGTGGTAAATATAAAGTCCAATGAGGCAGTAATTCGTTTCCGTGAGTTCAGTGACTAGGTGACTGGAAATTGGTAATGTGAATGCACTAACCAGAAGCGCAATCTTAATGCGCATTTGTGTAAAAGGTTATCCCGTCATGGTCATCTGGATGTGGATAGGACCAAAGTCAATCATCTGGCACACGTCAGCATACAAGGTGATTAATGGTCCTTAGCACACTCACCAGGGACATCTCCTCAGATATACATGACCAATGGATGGGGACTCAGAAGGCGTTTGTAGAAATCCACCTTAAAAGGCTCGTGAAATAACAAGCCAAAAAGGGTCCTTGATAGCGCATTATTTTAATAGACGTATAGCTGAATAATGAGCAAAACAGGAATGCACTCACATCTGGCAATGTATCACGTACCTGGTGATGGAGGCCAATGGAGAGAGGGCTTCCCTTGCAGCTAAGTTCCAGACTCCCCTGAGAGTGGGACAGAAGGAGTCAGGCCCAAAGTTGCACAGGTCACCTGTAGGAGTGCTGGTTGGTGGTCCACTCAGAAGCACAGCTGGTGCACGGAGGTAGGTCTACAGACAGGAGGCACCTGTGCGTGGTATGCAAGCCCTTCCGGGATTTGGATGTTTACTGGGTAGTCGGTTCAAGCCAAGGTCAGGTACTAGGTGGGAATCAGAGCAGACGTAGTCAGATGGGATAGGCCGAGGTCATACACAGAGGAGCGAGAGAAAGAGTATCTTTTAAGCCTGGCCGAGGTCAGATCAGGGGTAATCAGAGTAGATAGGTCCAGGAGCAAGCCGAGTCGGTAACAGGAAATCACAGGTCAGAATCACAGGAAACAGGAACAGGGCACGGGGAGCTAGAGATCATCCAGCAACCAGAGGAAGTGATGAGCCTCCTTATAAAGGCCGTTTGGCACCAGACTGAGGCTGATGTGTACTTCTGCGGCCATGCAGAGTACTGGCAGAAATGCCAGATCTTCCAGAACTCCTACCGTGGACAGGACCCTGACACAATGTCTGACATTGTAAAGCAAGATAATCCAAGATGGCCACTGGCCTTCCTGATGGCCTCAACGGCGTGACGTACACAGGTAGCCTCCTCCCAAAGCGTTTCATGCCCGAGCACATCTTCAGAGGGCAGCAAATCACGGTGGTCACATGAACCTAACACCCTGCCCTGCCTCCCAGCTTCTGAAACCCTGAAAGGGCCGGGAGGCACCGGCGCCAAGGGGTTAAGAATGAATCGAATAAACTTTTTGGTTTGTGGCGCTCAGATGCAGCGTAGTTCCGCTTTCATGAGTCAGAATTCGTCCGTGTCAGGTACTGAAGGCCACGCTAACATTTGGAAACATTTTGCATCTTTCTAATCGCATCGGGTTCTGTCTCCAGTTACAGCTGACTATTGGACATATGCATACACAGCACATTGATGTGTCTACAGTGCCCTATGGCAAAAGCAGAGGATAAACGTTTGCCAAGGGGAGGGTAGATGTTCGCGCGCTCTGCCTATAGGAAGCCAGAACGTGATCCTTCTTTGCCATTGTTTGTAATGAATGATCACGCTGCACATTGTTCTGGAATAAAATATATGATGGTAATGGCTTTTGTGTGCATACCGCTGAAGATGTGCTGGCAGAGTAATGATGAAGCCTGGTCCCCCATAGCTGGCCATGCTGTGACAAGGGAGATCCACCGGTGTCTGGGAGATTATGGCACGGTGAATTAATGCATTCATCTGCATAGATGTCAGGTTAGTCATTGTGTCATGTATAATCGGAGACGCGGCACCATTGATTGCCCGGACTGTCTGCCCATTGCACCACGATTGTCTGCTTTCGTATTCTTGGTTCTGACCGATCATTAGTCTGTAGGTTGTTTTCACCTCGCAGTTTGGCAGCTTTCATGGATTATTAATTACTAAAAATCGGTGTCCCCTTTACAAAACATGCGTGAATATATCATATGGGATACACCCCTAGAATATTACTTTCTCCCCCGAAAGTCCAAAGTGAAAATCAAAAGTCTTTCTCGGCGTCCATATAATCTCAATAGCCCCTAATGTGATATAAAATATTCTTTCTTCCTATTTATAATCTTCCTCCATATGTGTTAGATACTTCATCCTCCAAATGTCATCCTCCAAAAAAAAAAAAAAAAAGAATATTTTATATCACATTTTATTTATTTATTAGAGGCTACAGAGATTATATGGACGCTGAGAAAGACTTTTGATTTTAGCTTTCGTGGATTACAAGAAACATCATTTTTTTTAATACTGAATGCAAACAATGAAATAGAAGAACAATCCATCATTGCTGCTTATTTTCTCTCGACCCCCCAGTTTCTGCGTTCCACATGCTGTCCCGCAGGATCCAGTAGCTTGGCAATCTGCTGCCTTGCATCAAAGGAGTCCAGGAGTGTAAAAAAGGGTGCTGCACTTCCAGTAGAACCCCACTGTTTCTGTAATAAAAGCAAAAAGTGGTGTCACTACAAGGGTATGGGGGGGGGGCTGCATCCGGGTGACACCAGGGGTGCAGTGGGCCAATTGCACCCCAGGGCTGTTTGGATATAGTGAATGCAGGGTCCGGAGAGAGCGGATATAGTGAATGTGGGGTTCGGGAGAGCAGATATAGTGAATGCAGGGTCCGGGAAGAGCGCGGATATAGTGAATGTGGGGTCCAGGAAGAGCGGATATAGTGAATGCAGGGTCCGGGGGGGTAGAGCGGATATAGTGAATGCAGGGTCCGGGGAGAGCAGATATAGTGAATGCAGGGTCCGGGGAGAGCGGATAAAGTGAATGCGGGGTTCGGGGAGACCAGATATAGTGAATGCGGGGTCCGGGAAGAGCGTATATAGTGAATGCGGGGTCCGGGGAGAGCGGCTATAGTGAATGCAGGGTCTGGGAGAGCAGATATAGTGAATGAGGGGTCCGGGGAGAGCGGATATAGTGAATGCGGGGTCCGGGGAGAGCGGCTATAGTGAATGCAGGGTCCGGGGAGAGCGGATATAGTGAATGAGGGGTCCGGGGAGAGCGGATATAGTGAATGCGGGGTCCGGGGAGAGCGGATATAGTGAATGCGGGGTCCGGGGAGAGCGGATATAGTGAATGCGGGGTCCAGGGAAGAGCGTATATAGTGAATGTGGGGTCCGGGGAGAGCGGATATAGTGAATGCGGGGTCCGGGGAGAGCGGCTATAGTGAATGCAGGGTCTGGGGAGAGCGGATATAGTGAATGAGGGGTCCGGGGAGAGCGGATATAGTGAATGCGGGGTCCGGGGAGAGCGGATATAGTGAATGAGGGGTCCGGGGAGAGCGGATATAGTGAATGAGGGGTCCGGGGAGAGCGGATATAGTGAAATGCGGGGTCCGGGGAGAGCGGATATAGTGAATGCGGGGTCCGGGGAGAGCGGATATAGTGAATGCGGGGTCCGGGGAGAGCGGATATAGTGAATGCGGGGTCCGGGGAGACCGGATATAGTGAATGCGGGGTCCGGGGAGACCGGATATAGTGAATGCGGGGTCCGGGGAGACCGGATATAGTGGATGCGGGGTCCGGGGAGACCGGATATAGTGAATGCGGGGTCCGGGGGAGAGCAAATATAGTGAATGCGGGGTCCGGGGAGACCGGATATAGTGAATGCGGGGTCCGGGGAGACCGGATATAGTGAATGCGGGGTCCGAGGAGACCGGTTATAGTGAATGCGGGGTCCGGGGAGACCGGATATAGTGAATGCGGGGGTCCGGGGAGAGTGGATATAGTGAGTCCGGGGAGAGTGGATATAGTGAATGCGGGGTCCGGGGAGAGCGGATATAGTTATTGCGGGGTCCAGGGAGAGCGGATATAGTGAATGAGGGGTCCGGGGAGAGCGGATATAGTGAATGCGGGATCCGGGGAGAGCGGATATAGTGAATGCAGGGTCCGGGGAGAGCGGATATAGTGAATGCGGGATCCGGGGAGAGCGGATATAGTGAATGCGGGGTCCGGGGAGAGTGGATATAGTGAATGCGGGGTCCGGGGAGAGCGGATATAGTGAATGCGGGGTCCGGGGAGAGCGGATATAGTGAATGCGGGGTCTGGGGAGAGTGGATATAGTGAATGCGGGGTTCGGGGAGACTAGATATAGTGAATGAAGGGTCCTGGGTTTAGTAACTCTTTAAGCCTCGTGGGTGGAACAAAACACGTTGGAGGCTATGGCAGACAATTAGAGACCAATGAATTAATAAGATCAAAGATTATCACAAAATCCGCATACAGAAGGCAGGAAAAATAGAACACTGAGCCTCGCTGGATGCACATCGGTACTCCACACCCAGGACTCCCAAGGACGTCCAGCAGGTAGATATAGTATTGCTGGTACGGTACTTAGAACAAAAGTTACAATCAGCGCAAATATCATGAAAACCGGCTGAACAGAAAAGAGAAAAAGAGAGAAACGAAGAAAAAAGAGACAAAAAGACAAAGAAAGGGCTCCAGGAGATGCTTTTTTTTCATCTGTTATCTTTCAGGTACATAGGTAACCTGGCTTGCGTACATGTACCTATCTTTCCGTCTCTGTATCTGTTGGAAAACGATCCATTGTATTCCATCTATCTGGGCATCTGTTGACGTTCGTTTATAGCAGCCTCCCTTTATTAAAGTACTGGGGTTTAATTTCCCGCCGGGGAACTATCTGCATGGAATTTGTATATAAACACATGCGAAGTTACAAAGCTACAGTGTTAATTGCCATTTAATGAATTATCCAGTGAATAGGTTGTCATTGCGGCATAAATCTTGAAGAAAAGTCAATTTTAATTGCATACCTTAATTACACTGCAGTGCAAAGTTTCATAGACCCGCAGGACTCCTACATCAAGGCCCGTGCCGCACACAGACAGTTACATAGTGATTTGCTTAACTTAGGCAAGAAAATTGGGCTTTTCTGAAAAAAAAAATTATACTGCGCTGATGACCTATTAAGTGGATGTTATAACCAATGTTAGTCATTCGTCAAAGCAGCACCAGCACCAGGCATGACGTCCAGAATGGTGTGTGTTAGGAATGTGATTTCTTTTTACTGCGGTAGATACATTAGAATGCAAGCTGCAAGGACAGGCTGGGTCTGATTTTATAATGCCAGCGCTCAGGATTCCCAGGATTGTCAATTGTCAACTATAACAATCTGTGTTTTTCAACCAATATAAGGGCTCGTTACATAGTTAGTCTGGCTGAAAAAAGACAAAAGTCCATCCAGCTCAACCATAGAAAAAAAAAAAGTTATAATCCTACTCCCACAGTTGACCCAGAGGAAGGCAAAAGAAACCCAGGAAAGCATGATCCAATTTGCTCCTGCAGGGAAAAAAAAAACCTTCCTGATTCCCGGAAAGGCAATCCGATATTCCCTGGATCAACTTTACCTATAAATGTTATATCCAGTTATATTCTGTGTATCCAAGAAAGGATTCCAGGACTTTCCTACAGCAATCCACTGAGCTGGCCACAACCAACTCTTCAGGGTATTAGTCTATTCCACATTCTCACAGCTCTCACTGTGAAGAAACCTTTCCGTGTTTACGTGGAGATTACATTTTTTTCCTCCAGACGTAAAGAGCGCCCCCTTGTCCTCTGTGATGACCTCAGGGTGAATAAACTACACCGAGTTCACTATATGAAACCACTGATGTATTTATACATGGAGATCCTATCCCCCTTATGTATTATACATGGAGATCATATCCCCCCTTATGTATTATACATGGAGATCATATCCCCCTTATGTATTATACATGGAGATCATATCCCCCCTTATGTATTATACATGGAGATCATACCCCCCCTTATGTATTATACATGGTGATCATATCCCCCCTTATGTATTATACATGGTGATCATATCCCCCCTTATGTATTATACATGGTGATCATATCCCCCCTTATGTATTATACATGGAGATCATATCCCCCCTTATGTATTATACATGGTGATCATATCCCCCCTTATGTATTATACATGGTGATCTTATCCCCCCTTATGTATTATACATGGAGATCATATCCCCCTTATGTATTATACTTGGTTATCATATCCCCCCCTTATGTATTATACATGGAGATCATATCCCCCTTATGTATTATACATGGAGATCATATCCCCCCTTATGTATTATACATGGAGATCATATCCCCCCTTATGTATTATACATGGTGATCATATCCCCCCTTATGTATTATACATGGTGATCATATCCCCCCTTA